CGATGAGTTGTGATCCTTGGCCCGTTTCCACTCAAATTAGACTATTAATTCGTCAAAAACGGACAAACCCAAAGTTATCATGAAATCATTATTTTGCCTTGCGATCCCACTTCATCATAAATTCTAACTCCTTATGCACTTCATCAGAATCCGCAATTAATATTTGAAAATACTTCATTTCATGTTTTCATTTTTTTAATAATTATTATTACTCTAGTAAGCCGCCTCCAAAAAGTTCATATAAGATTTTTTAGTTGCTAGACTATCTCAAGTAATCATCAAATATTATTTGGTAAATTAGAACATTATTCGATCTCCGTGTTCTTGACTGATGGTTTGAGAGGTGAGAAATAGTTTTCTTTTGTTAATAGGAATCTCAGTTCCCGCTGAATAAATTGATGAGCCCTTCTCCTATATTCTATTGGTTTTAAGATTTTATTATTATTATTAATTAAATAATTTAGATTTTTCTTCAAAAATCAGATGATAATTATATATAAGATATATTTTAATATTTTAAAACCATATACCAAATAATGTAGATTTATTATGTAATTCCAGATCTGAATGTTAATCAGTTTTAACGGATTTTCGAAATCACAAAATTTTGAGAGAGAAAATCGAATTATTAACAATCAGATTCAATATTTTTTTTCGTCATCTCATGTTCTAAATGAAGCATTCAACCTTAGGACTAGGTCACAATTTTCGCAGGAAGTCATAATTTTCAAATAGACATATTTTAGGTTACATTCAAATAGATAAGAAGACACAAATTAGTGTCACACACTTATGAATGGTCGTCACACACACAAAAATCTTACAAGTCATAATCACACAATCGTAGTATGTCACATTCACATAAATATATTACAAATATTTTAGATAACAATCACACAACATCATAGTTTATAGTTACACAACGTAATGAGAATTTTCGTACGAAATGACATTTTTTAAAAACACATATCTTAGCTAGGTTACAATGTTGCATATTTGAAATTATAGATTGTCACGATCACACAACGCATTAGATCACTGACACAATTTTCGCATAAAATTACGGGAAAATATTATAGCTGTTGCATGTGATTGTAAAAGCTTTTTTCCCGGCTCTCTCTCTTTTTTTTTTTCCTTTTTTTTTTGGCTAGCATACGATGATTGTGGTCTTTGTGGATATGACTGCCTCCGATAAGGTTTCTTAAACGTTTGTTGATTCACCAATAGATGTAAAATAAAGCAAAATTATGGTCAATTATTCTGAAGAAATTGTGGACAAGAAGGAAATAATTATTTAGGAGAAATCACATTAAAAGTTTGTGAACAATATCTTCATCTATTATGGAATCGCGCCATGGAGGAATGTGATTCTTATTTTTGTTTTAGGATTCATGTGAACGTTAGAAAGGAAGATAAATTTTTCGACTTGTTTTATTAATATTGTTTTACGAAAAATGAGACGGTGCAATGACTGGTCAAATGTGAAAATGAGAGTTGCGTACATGAAATAATAAGGTAGATGCAAGTAACATTGCTGTCCCTAGAAGCCAACAAGAAAATAATTATAATTGACAATGTTTTAGCAAACAAGGATGCATCATTTGGACGCCTACGCCTACGCCCCAAATCTGGTGAAGAAGACTTCACTGCTTTTTAATCCTGCATGGATACAAGTATTTTAAACTATTTCGCCTTTTAGTTCCTGCATGAATATATTTTTTAATATATATTTTTAATATGATTTAAATTAAAAAATATATATAGAAAGTAAAAATAATAACTGGGATGGGTTTGAGAGTTTATGAAATTATTGGAATATCAAAACTACAATAAAGAATGTATCAGTTTTATTCCTTTCTGGAAAAAAAAATGTAATGGATAATTCTCACAATTATGTTAAATATGAAAACTAGTGGAAAAGATAATAAGAAATGAATTTTATATTTAACCAAAGAGAAAGGGATAAAATGGAAACTTATGCTAATATGAGAGATTTCTGAAATATATAAAACTAGATATGATGTTTCTGAAATTGAAGGAGAGGTTTCTGAATTTATTCTAAAAATAATATTAATTAAATTACTTTGATAACTTAATTTATACTTACAAATTTGTAAGACACTTATCACTAGTTATATGGGGTCTACTCTGGTCATGTTATATGTAATGAATGCTAGCTCCTTTTTCTTGAATTCTTCAAAACAATAAATCAAATCCAAACATGGAGAAAGTAATTAGCATGGTGATGGTTGTTCTCAACAAGTTGAAGAATATAGTAATGTATTTTTTCACTAGTTTGTGTTTTGTGCATGATGTCTTGTTAGGATATTTAATCCCCGTAGAGATTCGATGTTATTTGATTCCAAATATAGACAATAGTCACGTGGTTAGTTACGGTCTTATCGATTTTTCTTTGCTTTTTGCTTATTAGATTTTTAAGGTTATTGTATTTTGGAGTTATTCCACGAAGGAATAGACGTTACCAGTGGCAATCTTATTGGCTATTTGGTTTAGTTCCACTTCCCCTGGAACCCTCTCTCCCCATTTTTTTCCTCAAGGAGCCAGGTGATGTCAAAGCAACATAGTTCTAAAATTCAGGTAATGCCCAAGCAGCATAGTTCTAAAAAGAACATTCAATAGATGAGAAAGAAATTATGGGTAAAAGTAATATGATTGTTACTTTAGATGAATTTGGAAATAGTAATTCAATGGCAGCTATAGAGTTGCTGTTTGTAGCAACAATGAAGATCATGAAATGTAATGAATCAAATTATTTTTGTAGATGCAGTAGTGAAATATGTAACTAATTACTCTGTGTGAGAAAATAGAGGAGACAGTGACAACAGAGTTTTGTGGGGAAAAGAAGCGTGAAGGTATAGTTGAATCAAAATGATACCATTGAGCCTAATAGTTGAGCTAATGAACTGCGGAAATGGGGACAATATATTTGTTCAAGCAAAAATGCCTTTGGACTTTATATTTTGTTCTATGTTGACTTATCTTTGTTATTTACTTTTGCCAAATTATTGATGTGATAAGAGTTGAATAGCTAAATTGTTAAATTTCCAATGTCCCAACCACCACTTGGCAGCCAATAACTGCTCCCAAACCAATCCTTCAAAAAAAAAATAACTCATTTTTTATGTTAATTTTAGTTTTTCAATGAAAGTTATGAAATGCTTGTAAATCCATCTATATAAAATACTGAATCTAGAGTGTTAAGGGATAGAATCACACATCAAATAAAGATGTAAACATAAATCAATTTATAAATGATTGAGTTACTCCTCTTAATGAGGTTGATCTTTTAAGATGGAACCCCAATTCTTAACAGAGAGAATATGCCCTGCTAATACAAGCAATATCAATATAAAAAAAATGGAGGGAAACAAGTCTTGAATGGTTGTTTTTTGTGATGCCCGAGTACAAGAAACAAGTTTAACAAAATTTCAGTTCTTCACAAAAACAAATACATAAAGATTTACCACTGCGAGTCACCTCTCGCCCAGTCACTGATCCATGTAGTTTCCTGCAGGGGTGAAAATGGAAAATCTCAATTAAATGTGACATCAAAACATCATTAAAGGTAGAAGAAAATTCGTGATTAACCAGTTTAATTATCTTCCTAGAATACTTGAAAATTGAAATGAAACAAATTTTTGCTACGACATATTAGAATTTGTTCAAGAAAATTACCATTGTTAATATTGAAGCCATCTTTTGACCATAACCGTATGGCAACCAACACCAAAAGTGTTCCCACATCAAAACATATATCATTCAGAGTTTTCATTTTTGAACAAGCAAGATGAATATCTTATCAAGTAGTTCATGTTTAACTAGTTTTTGATCCTCTTTTTAATCATGATTAATTGAATCCCAATAAAATGTCACAAATTGTTGAGACATAGGCGACAAACAAAATAACTAAGATTTTTATGGTTCATCGTTAAATTTAAGAACTTGGCTTATTTTGATATTAAGATACGAAATTCTTTTGACTAAGTATTTTTTGTTCCAAACTAAGAAAAAGTTTATATATTTTCACATATCCATATAGAGACGTAGAAAAGTTTGATTGGGCTGCCATATGCGCCTATATACACACACACACATTCATACATTTCTTCACCAGTCATCCCCACTTAAATTTATCACCTTCTTTTTCTTCTCTGAACAGGCTCTTCATATAAATCAGGTAATTACTATAATTTATTGTTTTACTTTTCTGTTTAATTCATCACGGACAGGGTAATTTCGTGTTAAAAACCAACTAGTTCAAGTGAATAGTTATGAAAAAATGATTAATCTGTCATGTAACTAACCCTAAATTTAGTGAAAACAAATTGTTGAAATTTACGGAGTTGAATATTGTGCAATCAATTTAATGCACAAAAATTTACATATGGTTTGGTTTTCATCTTTTACCATTTACATATGCAGTGTTCGAATAGCAGATTTTCTTCCGTGCCGAAGGCTTCTTGAAAACCGGCCTGGTTTGATCAGGAAAAAATTATAACCGGCTCAAAAATTGACCCAGTTATGACCTATGAACTGTTTTTGAAAAATCGGAACGAAACTTTAAGAACTTTGAAAGTTCTCTGTTATAGATATTCTTGCCGTCATCCTAAAAAATAAATAAATAAATAAATAAAGAGAAGGAGAATCTTAGGAGGGTTATATTGATATAAAAAAAATTTTGTTAAAAAACTACAGATTCAATCTACATAGTTTTCGTAAAGAACCATAAAATGTCTAACCGAGAAAATTCTAGTGCACCTTTTGACAAATGACTTCATAAAACCAAAAAAGCGAAGTCAATTAACCAGAAACAAATTAAAAACAATGTTACCTTCAGCAGCAATAACGGGCAGGGCTTCACCAGCTTCTCCACCACCATCTACAGCACCTACTTCTCCTTCTTCCCCATCTACAGCAACCGCTTCTCCCTTTTCACCATTAGGTACAGTAACAATTTCACCAACTTCTCCTTCTACAGCACCAGCTTCTCCTCCTTCACCATATAATGCTATTGAAGAAGTTGTACCTGGAAATGGAGAAGGAGAAGTTGGTGAAGTTGTTGCTGTACCTAATGGTGAAGAAGGAGAAGATAATAGAATAAATGGTTGAACCTATTTTCCCATTCTTATCAGTCTCAATGAAATGATTTCACCTCAACTGTCAGCATTGCTGGAATAATGCCAATTTCCTTAAAACTCCACAGTGGCATTAATTCTTCTGTACATGCGTCCTTTCCTCAGAAATTTTTGTCTAATGTGTAATGTGTCCATTTAATCCTATTTCTACTTGTCATTTTCTTTTTATATTCCAAATAATTCAGTTTACTATCCATTTAAAATAAAAATGGAGACACCGTTTTACTGTAGTAATGTAAAAATAGTGGGGATAACAGTGTCACTTTAACACTTAGCTGGCAATGCGGAAAAGGAATGAAATGAAATGGCAATGCCTGAACCCTCGTCTCCTAGACTTCCCCCATTCGATAACATGCTACCATGACCGAATATATACCGTGCGCCCTTTGCCTAGTACTACCTATAGCTGCCAAGTCATTCACAAATTTTGTCTTCTTAAAATGTGTGTACTACAAATAAATATATTTGTCTCAAATGAGTGAACGAGCAATTCACTATAGACAAATATTAATTTTTTTCTAGTCAGTGACAAAGTTAGAATTCTTTGATAGGAAGGCAAAAATATTGTTGAGGGACAAAATATATATTTATAATGTATATATTCATTTTTTTTCGAAATCCATATTTAATTTCAAAAAATTTTGAAATGTTATGGGGCAGTCACCATCTCAACCCTTGTTCTCGTGTCACTTAATCTAACTTATAACATTAAGTATCGAACCTCTAAATTCTATTGCGCACGATAACTGATTGACGATTCCACGCACTACCACTTAGAAAAAAAGCAAGATTTGATTCCTAATGATGAAAATCATTCAATACAGGTCTTCAACATTCATTAGTGTTGTGTAGATAGTTCAAAAGACGAAAATCGTTTAATGTGGATTTGATGAGTCATATTAATATTTACGATGACTTGCTAAGATTTATGATTGGTTTAAGAATGAACTCCATTTCATAAATAATCCGAGATTTTGTTTACGATCTTATGTCTTGGTTATAGAACAGTTAACAAGAGAAACAATAAATAAATTTTCCCTAAAACTACCTTTGACTGTCCTTTTATTAACAAATTATTAACCAGTTTAATTATCTTCCTAGAATGCTTGAAAATTGAAATGAAACCAATTTATGCTACGACATATAAGAATTTGTTTAAGAAAATTACCATTGTTAATATTGAAGCAAATTAGGAACCCAATTACGGATCCAACCGTTGAACAGGGGATTGGCGGGATCTAACGGGAGAAATTCATGGTATAAATTGTCCATGAAATTAGCATTACCACGAGGACAAACCTGACAAAATACAAAACAATTAAAAGGTGATATAGAAATTATGTATATATGTGTAAACAATAATATAATATAAAAGTGCAAAATTATAATACCGTAACAATTGAACCCAAGATTGCAGTTGCGATCATCCAACCCACTTTTGCTTTATAATGTCTTGCATGTTTAGGTTCTTTGAAAACTTTGCAAACCAAATTGCAATCCGAATTGTAATGCAATGTTTCAATACCAACACTTAAAAGTTGAAGAACGATTGTACTCGAGATGTGGTGCTCATCATCTTTTGACCATAATCGTATGGCAACAAACACTAAAAGTGTTCCCACATCAAAACATACACCGTACCAGATTTTCTCATCTGAAATTATATGAACCAACCATCCATGGAACATAAATAACAGAATGACGAACACAAATCGGCTTTTCACTCAGGCCTTAAGCAAAATCCTTACCAAAAACGGCACAATAAAAAAGCATGTATAACACTAGGGTTAACGTCTACAGCAGTATGATCCATCATGAGAAAGAAGAGAAATCGTGTGTAACACCCCGAAAATTTTAGAATAAAATTATTTGTTCTATATATTTTATTTTATGATTTTGAAAGTTGAGGGACTAAAAAGTATGTTTTAAATTCTTATATTTTAAATGGATCAAATATTTAACTTTTTATAGAGTAATCGAAAATATATCAACTTTGGGCTCATTTTGTAGCTCGCATTGAAATATGCATTTTAGGCTCGAGAAAAAGTTAATTATGATAAGTTATGCTTAAAATATTGAGGTTTGAAGACATTATCACTTATTATGATATAAACTAGTTTACTAAAACTTATGGCAGCCACTTTATTCATGGCCTAGCACGTGTACACATTGATTGTTTAGTAGAAACTGTATTTCAAACAAAAGAAGACAAATCTTAACATTTTTCTTGGAGTATACGGGTCCCACACCCAAATCCCAACAAACTCCTAGTAGACTAGGTCATAAAGGTGTCCTTTGGCATTGATTTCCCTTCCTTTATTCAAAATTAAGGCCCATCCTAGACATACACGTGTGTAGATAACAATCAAAGATAATTTTTAAAACCTG